CACTGACTGCTAAGCCAGAGTTCGTGGGTTCGATTCCCACCCAAATTAATTGTCTGATGAGCACAATCATTTGTTCTACAACGACTACGGACGAGATATTTTCCCCAACACAAGCTTTTAACTCAGTTGGAGGGGTAATAAAATACCAAGAAAGTGTGATCTGCATATCTATTGTCATCGTCTTTATTATCGAAGGGGGGGGGGGGGGGGGGTTGTAGACAGAGGCGGACTATAGTAAATTTTAGTCCCACTTAATAGGAGGTAAGCTTATTTACCATCACCCCGGTTCTAACTAAGCAGAGTTTGTACTATGAAGATTGACTGATAAATCAGATAGAAACTCATAAATACATAGTAGATTATACATAGAAAACATCCAAACTCCGAAACAAATATTTGCAGGTCATTTAGGCCGACTCGGGAATCAAACCCGAGACCTCACCACCGTTACAGTCAGTCATTTGATATAGTATTCATTGAGGAAGGTTGGCTATCATCAGGCTATAACCCTTAGGAACGGACCAGTAACCATAAACGCAAGGGAAATTAAGGTTTTCTTAGTTTTGCAATTTTTTACCTATTTGTTTTCCTTGAAATCCTTCAAATTTTAGGACGGGTCAGTTGGTCCAATAGTTAGTGACTCTGACTGCCAAACCAGAGGTCGTAGGTTCACTTCTCACTCAGGACAAAATTATTTTGTGATGAGCACGATTATTTATTCTGTGTTATGGTGTAAGTTATTTATAATATGTATGTATTTAAAAATATATAAGTATGTTTATCAGCAGTCTGGTTACCATAGTGCAGCCTGTGCTTAAGTTGGGATCAGACTGCCATGTGTGAGGTTATTATTATTGTATTATTAATTTTAAGGAAAACCAACCATACCATATAGCTCTAAGATACACATACGAGACAATTGCATATTATGGCAATTTCTTTTTGATTCCTGGTAATAATTTAAATGGCAAACAGACACGTCTCGTTAAATAAGCATTGTCATCAATCAATAAATCTGTGTTGGACCTTGCATTGACTAAGTTTAATAGGCGGAGTCACGTTCTCGATGCATATGAGTGATACTCTATGTATATCTCGCTTTTATAAACTATCTATTTTAATTTTCTTTATGGTTTCGGGGTTAAACGAGCAGACAGTCACGGACACCTGCAACTGAAAGAGTCACAATTGCGTTGCCGATTGGGGAGGGACGGAGGGGGGCTCCACAATTCTTTCGTTGCATGTGGCAAGGAAAGAATTGCTCAACACTGGTTTTCTGTAAGGCTGTGTTATCACAACTGTATAACCAGACTACAGGGAATACTGTACTTCATGGACGGGCACCGCCCACTTAGAGATGTGTCAAAAACGGTTTTGAAATAAATCGATTATATTAATAAAACATACAATACAATTATTGTGATTATATTTTATACCAAATCACGTAAAAACCTTTATTATTTTGCATTAAAATACCCTAAATGTCTCTGTTTTAATGAATAAATAATTTGCGTAATGAAAACAGTTCCATCGTACTCGTACCTAGTAATGGGATCGAATGTATTCGCTGCAAATTAATGAATCTAAAATAATCGTTTAGACTTACTGTAGTTAGTTCAAATAAAAAGCATGTGAATGAACTGCGGTACCTACTTGTAATGAACAGGTAAAAAATGTTGAAATTCATAGTACTTTAGGGATTAAAAAAAAACAACCAAAAGAGGTACTGTAATACTATTTTTAATTATAAAGAGTCGTCTTTTTCGTATGACCGGAATCATCATCACTTCAGTTCTCCGTAATATTGATTATCAATTCTTGGACAGATAAATTGTCGAATGCAACATCCCGATCCCAATCCGACATTATCACCTTTTTTGTTTTTTTTTTACAACACTCGCCCACTTTTCAGGAGTTACTTTTACACACGCATTTTTTAGTAAATCCAGCATTTTTCTTGTGGTGAAAGGAGGAGTTGTATTGTTCCTCGCAGCATATCCTTTAACTTGTGCCCAGATCATTTCAATTGCATTATATTGGCAGTGACATGGGGGAATTCTGAGGACGGTATGCTCTGCTGACATTTCATCTATTACGTATCGTTTTGGCAGCTTCTTTGTTTTTAATATTTACTAACTACTTTTAGTAGGGACTTGTCTACCTCCTCGCCATTGACACGGAATCAGTTTATGATTTCATGTTTTTTTGTTGACCTGCGTTGGCATTTTATTAATTTGAACGAGAGTGATAGGGTGCATTATCAATAAATATTATTGATGGCTCTTCGAGTGACGTAAGCATTTCTCTGAACCACTTTTCATACACGTTCGAATTTATCTCCTCATGATAATCTCCTGTTTTTTGGGATTTGAAAGCTAAAAGAGCGTCTGGCACAAATCCTTTTACTGTTACCAACTGTTTACTTTTACTGTTGTACCATTGGTACTGCAGAAGTGGAGCCAGCAGTGTTGTCTATCCAAGTTTTTGATAGGGTATGATTCGCATTGAGCCAAGTTTCATCTTTGAAAACAAAATTCGACCAATCTTCTATTTTTTTTCGGTTGTCTTAAAAATTCGCATCGATACAAAGCAATATCATTGCGTTCCATTAAAATTTTTCGTTTGTCACATTTTTGGAATAAGAATCCAATGTCTTTCAATACCTTTGCCAAAGAAGATTTTTAACCACGGAACAAACCACTATTTCGTAAAGATTGTGTTAGTTTTTTTAATGTTGGAATCTCTTTACTTTTATAATTGTCGTATATATGACGACGAATAGCATCAGCATCAAAATTGTCAACTGCTGTCACTTTACAGGTCTGACGTTTTTTCTTAGGTGTAGATAGCTTATTCTGTCCCATGCCACTGCTGCCGTACCCTTCTTTTGTTATTTTTGCCACTGTTGGAGCACTAATACCTAATGCTGCTGCAACACGGTCTCTAACTTGAGTCACTGGTATAAGAGGACCACCATTACATCTTTCCTTTTCAAAGTATTCACGAAGTCGCAAGACAAACTCTCTTGTTTGTCCTTTAAGTGCTTTATTTTTTGGCATTTTGACAGTAACGAAGGGAGGAACGATACGCTCAACTCAACCAAACAAGAGGATTAACAAATAAATCAATACGAAGGAATATAAATACTCAACTCGACGTATGAAAATGTGGATTAACACTGACAAGAAAATGGCGTCGCGCGTCGCCGCCGCGTCCGGTGTTGCCGTTTAATAATCGATTAAATTACAAAATTATCGATAAAATAATGAGTGTGTTAAATCGATTAAAACTTCTTCATGAATAAAATTGATCGATAAAAGAAATCGAATCGGTAACGGGTCAGGGTATCACTATTTGATTAAGTATTAGAGCTGTCAAAAGTTAAATAAATGATTGGAAAGGGTATAACACTAAAATACTAACATAAATATGGACCTTAGTCTGAAATAAAAAGTTTATTGTTATCATTAAAAACACCACGTGCGTTACAGAGTTAGAGTCTGTTTTGCTTCATCCGTTACTTATTCTCATTAGTTAGGATTTTCATACACTGAGAGCGTACTTGCAAGCAATTTAAAGTTTTTTTAATCTTCTACAAACCAAAATAACCCTTTTTATGTCGGACTCGAATCGACTAAACACCGCCGCCGTCCCGGGTACTAGTAACTAGGTAACCAGGTGTACCTTAGAAAGATCCGATACCCTGACGGACCCTGAGCCATAGGTATCGAAATGAGCTGTAACCCAGGCATCGTATATGCAAAATTATGTGATGATCAAAAAGCACGGGAATGGTATATCGAATGTTATAGAAAAAAGTTCGGACATTCCAGACTGTTTCATGATGTTATTATTTTTTAATTACCCCCAGACACAGAACTAGACACTACGTAGGGTTGTCATAATTTTAGGTCAACGGGAACAAAAACGATGTTACTTACCAAATTTCATAGTTTTAGGTCAACGGGAAGTACCCTATAAATCTTGATTACCTTGAGAGTGTCGGAATATGCATTTTTTGCGTTATAAACGGCCGTATCTTTTTTTTACGTTAAATTAGAAGTTTGGAGATCGCCAAGGGCCTTGACAGACAGACGGACGGCGAAGTAATCCTATAAGGGTTTCCTAAAAACGCTTACCGAAACCTCTTTAGGAAACATTATCAACTTCTTTTTATGGCTGCAAATTTCTAGCAAAGAACCCTGATAGTTTCGCGATGTCTGCCTGTCCTTACGACAGAACGCCTGCAACGTAGCTTGCCGACTGTTAGTACTAAAACGCTGCAATTTTAAATGTATATATTACACATACATATATACTAAATATACATTGATAACGCTAAAGAAGAATAACCCACCTCCTTTTTTTCCCTCCGTCTATCCTATAGTTAAGTCGTTTTTATTTAATTACTGGCTTTTACTAGCAAGTGCGATCGCGTGTATGTCATGTTACTCGCTGATAATGTAGCTTTCCATTGGTGAAATAATTGTTTAAATCGGTTTAGTGGTATAAGCGTGAAAGCGTAACTAACAAACAAACTCACTTTTACATTTACAAGTATGGATAATTCACGAACAATTTCATTATTTCCAGGAGCCGTAGTATATCGCCGCCGGGAGGCCACTAGTATATTCAGAATCGATATTCGGTTCACACATCGCTAATTGTGCCCCATGGAGACCATCCTCAACCAGCGAAAACATTTGATCGGAAACCGCTACACCAAGAACTTCTCTGGACTCGAACCACACATACAGTATCATCTCTGTCGTTCTAATACAAAGATGCTACTGAAAATTGAGAACGAACTCCTGCAGAGCCACCGCCAACGAGAAACCACTGGAATTAAAAAGTTATACAATTCCTTCTTTGTATTGTTTTAACCTAATCGCAGTTGAAAAAGCTTCATCATCATCATCATCATCATCATTTAGTGTCAATAGTGTAGTGATAATGGCCATATTGTGATGGAATATTATTCAGGGGAGAAGGACTTTATTATGCACGATAGTCGAAAGGAGGACAACTTCACTTGGGAGTCGAGTGTGAAGCTTACGCTGGTGGGTCGTGAAGAAGATCTCGGGATGTATTTGGAGGAGAGGGAAGGGAGGAAAAGGAAGTGGCAGGGAGAAGGGAAGATGATGAGGCGGGACGAAAGTGAAGAGAAGGAACAGAGGAAGATGCCGCCAAAGAAAGTTATGGGTGAGTAGTTTTTTTATTAGACAACAGACTATCTACAACTTTTGCAACATTTTTGATTAATGCTGGGCTCAATAGCAGCGTAATAAAATAGTCGTAGTGTAATGTTATAGATGATTTTCTCGATAAATAGGCTATTCAACACTAAAATCTTTAATTCGAACCAGTAGTTTCTGGGATTAGCGCGTTCAACCAACCGTACCATACCGCAGTTTGTTTTCTCGTTTTATAATATAAGTCAGCATAATTCCTTTTTTTGCAAATACCCACTGACTACAAGCCTGACTGCTACACCTACAGTCCTGATTTCCTGAAGGTTGCATAGTGTGATTGATTTAATTTCAGAATTAACTGAAATTCAATTAATGTTGTCATGTAACTGTTAATATTTTTTAATTAAGCGTACAGATCGCCTTAATTTTTAGACAGTCTTGACCCACTTAGCAATATTGTAAAAAATAATAGTTTAGGTATTAAATGTTTAAGAACTGAACCACCAACTGTAGTTCTTCATGCTTTAATTTTCCATGGTACATTCATTTCAAAGTCTCATTGAAATAGATTTTGAAATCGCAAAGACATCGCCGCAAAATACGTGCGGAAAATATATTCAGTCCTATTACGAACCTCCTCCTTCTTAAAATCAGTTAGATGATTAAAATCAAAACGTGCTTTAATAACTCACCAAAGTAAAATATAAAAAATAGTTCTAACACCCACCTTCTAGCTCTGTCATCGGACTTCTACTAAGCCCAATCTGTGGGACTCGTCAAAACGAATCAAATGAGCCAAAACTTGTAGAGTTTACTACTAAGTTTAAGTACGTAATAAAATACGTAATTAATTTGCACTTTGGCGCCAATTCAAAAGTACATAAGTTCACATGTACTTTAGAATTGGCGCCAAAAAAAATTAAACTGTCATCAGTTTAACTTTTTTATTTTCAATTACTGAGGTTCTTGTCGTGGTAAGCGGGACAAACAGCCAATAAAACATAATTGCATTCAATATCGAAGAAAGAGTTTACCTTTTAGATGACATTATTATATTTAATGTTGATACAAGAGCGTTCATACTTAACAAAGATTATTTTATATAGATGTGACAATTCATTGACGGAGGTGAAAAACTTTTGCCTTTTAAAAAAAATGTAAAGCATACAAAAGTCCCTAAGGCCCGCCCGGCGTTCTCCGAATGTCGTCGGTCGCGTGCGAGCGACGACCGACGCGTGTCCACCGCCGGTAGCGTACTCCGTCGGCCGCGTGCGATTGGGTTCTCTGGACGCGGACGTCTTGTAGTCGTGATTGTGAATCGTGTTTGTACTCGGTTCAAAATGAACGAAAATATATTAAAATTGTTAAGAGAAGAAGTGTCCTATAAAATAATTAATAATTCGTCAGTTTAACTATTAAAAATCATTTTAAAGTGATAACGTCGCGGCGTGCGCCCGTCGCTATGGTTTAAACATCATACCGACCGAAGCGTGCGGCGTGCGACCTTGTCCGCTCGCACTATCCGCCGCCGACGACGTTTCTAAGAACCCAGCGCTGAGCATTTCCATACATTCGTACGCCGTCAGCCGCGTGCGAGTGGGTTCTCTGTACGTATTCGCTAGCGTCTCGTAGTCGTGATTTGACGTTCAGAGAATCCTGGGCCTAAACGCTAGTGGCCTTCACAGAGCAGACTGCTTATGTTTTTAATAATTTGCTATTATATACTTTTAAGTACTACACGACACTTGCTTAGCCTATAAAGTCGGATATATACAGGAGTTAACGTGATCAATAGGTATCACATACCTATGATCCATAATATAATGCTTATACGAGATAGAAGGTTGTTAAGTACAAATAATTTTTTAATCAAGGAAAAAAATTAAGGGTCGTAAGAGCCGACTAAGAGAGCAAACTACCTAGGACAACATCACTGCAAAAAAAAGGAAAACAAATCCTATACCAACCCGTCTGGCCAGCTTGGTATAATAGGCCAAACCTCCTTTCTAAAAAGTGAGATTGATGACGTTATTTGATAAAATTGAAGTTTACATTTATCATCACAGAGTAAATACCTGTTTAGGCACAATACTCCCACAATTTAATACATTAATATAATTGTTTATTCTATGCACAAGTACCGATAGCGTGACGATCACGTTATGATATATATCTAAAACAGTTTTGAAGGAATCGTCGCGACTTACAAACGTTTTGTTATAACTTTATCGCACGATTGTCTAGTACTGTGTTCTTTGTGATGAAAAGTGTATCTATAATAGATATATTTAGTGTTTTTGCCAAGTGTTTGTATAAACGTACGTTATTGGAGAATAAAAAGTGATAATTGTTAGTTGATGAACATTGGATAGTCTGTTTGTATATTGAAACGCGGCGTCACAAAGATATACTTGGGACTGTTGATCTAACCAATAATACGCTGTGTATATATTTGAATTTGGAATACTAAAGTAACAATAATTCGACGTTTAGACGTTTAGGATACACATATATATATATATATATATATATATATATATATATATTTATTTTAACAATAAAAGACAACTCCCGCACTAGGAATATATCCTGTGTCGCGGGGGACTTAACAAACATACATTAAACGGACACAAAGAACACCCAGACTCAGAACAACAATTTTGTGAATCACGCAAAGTATTGCCCCATGTGGGGATCGGACCCACAACAGTCAGCGCAGTACGCCATCCAGTGCAATCCTTTTGTCTTTGTTATTTAATATCGGTTTTCGTATTCTAATTCTTAATCGGGTATCTGGTATCTTTGTTTTTTTTATATTTTATTATTTCAGGATTAAAGTTTTTTCGATTTGTTTTTTAGAGAAAATAATATTTTAGTGTCTTTAGTCATAAACAACAATTCGCACCTTTATTCATAAACTGAATTAACTTAGAATTTCAATTTTGTGGGAAATCGCATTTAAAGTTTGACATTCATGTACGTGCGAGTTCGTCAAAAAGAGAACGACGATCTCTTATCTTTGCCATTTTCATGGTATCGAGTCGGCTGTTAGATTGTTCGTGTTCTACTGATGAAGTTGATTTGGTATTTGTTGAAAACTCGAAAAACGTAAATTTTGAATTAATTCAGTTTATTATTAAAGGTGCGAATTATTAATGTAGAAGAAAAATGCGTTCGGAAATGAAATATAAAATAATTTTGGAAGTAATAAGTCAGTAGTGCTTATTCTAACACATGTTCGCTTATTTTGAAGGTTGCCCCTATAAATAAACAGTTACAACAACAGTGGTTACCCTCGTCAGCAATCTTGTTTAAAATACCCCAGTAAAACTTTTACCTGCATTCTTACCTAGATCTGCCGGTTCTACACATCCGGAGTAATACGGTTATTCCGGTAAATCCGGTTTAGTAGTGATGTTCCTTTAGAAATCGGTTCTAGAATCCTTCCTCCAATTTCAGTAGAATTATCTGTCTATATATATTAATAATACAACATACATAAATACAATCCCGCCTATATGTCCGAAGGGAATAAATGTTCAAATTTTTCCACCTTTAGACGGTCCTGTTGGTCTAATGGTTAGTGATCCTCACTGCTAAGCCAGAGGTCGTGGGTTCGATCCCCACCCAGGTTAAATGATGGTGCGATGAGCACGGTCGCTTGTTCTGTGTCTGGGTGTAATTTATCTATAATATGTATATATTCAAAAATATATATGCATGTTTATTAGCAGTCTGGTTACCATAGTACAGGCTCTGCCTAGTTTTGGATCAGACGGCCATATGTGAGATATCTAAGGTTATTATTATCTATACAAATAAATAAAATTGAAGTGTCTGTTTGTAATGTCAAAATAATGTTTTTTTTTCATGCTCACACGGTTATTTGCACGATACCTATGCCTAAAAACCAGTTTAAATATTTTTGTCTGTCTGTCTCTCTATCTATCTGTCGATCGATTTTGATAATATTTTACTAACCGGTAGCTGTCTATACAAGGAGTAACTTAGGCTATTTTTTCCGTCAGAAAACCCCTACAAATTTTACGCGGTCCGGGAATCCACTAAGACAGCGCTTTTCGAATTCCACGCGTACCAAGTCGAAGTACGAGTAGTTACCTATAATTTTAGTCCCACTCACGTAAAAGGAGCGAGCCTGTTCCTTTCAACCGAAGACATTAGCGATCATATGTAAGTAATGGGAGTATTGAGTACTTTAATATTAACCTATATCAGGATCAATATCTCATTTTCATAAATTGATATATCAAATCACGTCAGAATGATGTATATCTATGACGCGTTTGAGATATAAACCATTATATGTCTATAAAGTAATATGTAGTAGTCCCCGTACTAACAGATGATAATGAAGGCATTTTCTCAACTTATAACTACACAACTGTTTTAAACTCAATAGAGTCGGCTGGTGGTAGAATTTTGAAAATAATTCATTCAAATCTTCGGAGAGCTACGGTTTATCTTACATGGGCTGGCACAATCGGAGTGGTATCACGGAAAACTGGTATCAAACAATTCCTGTGTGATACTAAACCCCTAGATACACCAAGATTCTGGGGGGGGGGGGGGGGGGGGGGCGTACCGTCTGCTCGTTGAGACTGGGTACCAAATCAAAAATATTAAAATCGATTGTCTTGGAATAGAATTTCACCTGGAGAATGGAGTCCGTGTGGTGACGGATTAAAAATACGGAGTGTCACCACTCCAGTTCATCCCGTGGGTTTCGTAAGAGCCGACTAAGGGAGCAAACTACGCAAGACAACAGCACTGCAAAGAGAAGGAAAACTGGCAACAAATCCTATTCAGCGTGGTATAGAAGGCCAAAACCTCATTTCTAAGGAGAGGCTTACATATGTCCAGCAGTGGACTATATAGGCAGTTGATGATGATGATGATTATGGGTGTATAGAGTCACCAGAAGATCATCCCTTTTTCATAACAACTTAGTCCCACTTTTGACTTTTGAGTTGCAAAATAGAAATATTTAGA